CTGACGCAAAAACTGGCAGATATTTTGCTCTTCTCTGTTGGAACAACGCAAGCGGGAGGTCAATGACCTGCGCCCCGCGAGTACTGTAAACAACGGTACGTAATGTGTATCGTCGGCGCACGCGCGCGCGCCACGGTATCAACAATTTTCCACAATCTTCACCGACTAGTATTATATATTCTGTTATCGATTTCTGAAGAATCACCAAAATTGTAGAGTGTAACGCTATCTCCTAGAAAGTCCCTTACTAGTACTTGAAGCGATCGTTACCGCCATGTTGTTCACTTTATATGACATACAATGCAGAGAGTAATGGAAACGTGTCCAGATAGCTCGGTTGGTAACGCGCAGGGCTGCAAGTCCAGACATTACGAGTTCGAACCCCGGTACACTGGATATTTTTATGGGTTCACCACAAAGTCTGTTGGAACAACGCAAGTTGGAGGTCAATGACCTGCGCCCGGCGTGTAAACAAGATTAGACAGGGAGCGGCTGTAATATCAAAGGAGCCGGCGGCTTCTGCTAGCCGGGTTGATAGTTAAGTAACATCAAGGTGGTTCAAAAGCAAACCTGATAAAGAAGGAAACCCCGTAGTTAATAGTTGAAAGTCTTGGTGGCTTGAGGCGATCGATACCGCCATGCTGTTTACTTTTTATGACATACAATGCAGTGAGTGATGTGTATCGCACCGAGTTAGCTCGGTTGGAAACGCGCAAGGCGGCAATCCCAGGCATTGCAAGTTCGAACCCCAGTGCATCGGACATAAATATTTTTAGCAATTTAACATTTTTAACAATTTTATAATTTTTAACAATTTTATCAGTTTTAACGATTTTAACAATTCTGCATTTTAACAATTTCAACATTTTTTTTTATTTTCGTTGTTTTGCTTTTAACATTCAAAAACTGATTGTTCTTACTCAAGAATGTAAATAACTTAGAATGTTAGTCTTTTGTATTTTTCCAACATACAAACTAAAATCACTTTGATGTTGTCACAAAAGTATTGAGCTGACAAGAGAGAATGAGTACGGTACTCTGCCAGTGTGAAGAATCTACAGAGGTATTACCAGTCACTAGTAGCAAGAGATAGACCACATTGAATGATGACGATGAGGACGAATCATATGAAGTACTATCATAGCTAGTACAGAAATTCTACTGCTTTACTTTACTTTCTTTCACTCTGTACATGCAATTAGCTCACTGGCATGATTTTAAAAATAAAGGTTATGATAATCATATTATATGTATAGCTTATTCAATGTATGGCTTCATAGTTTATGTGATTGTTAATAACACCTGCACAGAGCATTTCCATACTGAC